ACATATATATATATACATATATCGCTGACTTCGTATCTTCATAAACTTGCGCCTCTGCACACAAGCAGACATTGAATCGTGCTAGTAACGAGGATGGTCGCAGACAAAGATTGCTAGTACCAAGAGTCATGGTACTAGAGGGAAGCATGCTAGACGTTCAAAAAAAGCTTAGGAACTGGTGCTCAAGAAAGCCAAGCAGCTCTCAGGCATCGCTCGAGCCCAACGATTGCATGCAAAATGCGACCAACTTCTTCCACAGGTTTGGAATGTCCTGCCAGTGCCAATCCGCCAGGCTTCGAACTATGCCTGGCTTGAACTGTGCAGCTGTGCAGGCAGCAGTCCTGTGTCTGAAAGCTCATCAATGCTACCTGGGATGTAAGAGCAATGTGATGAATGACGTGCACCACGAGTGATGACAAGTCACTCTCAGTCACCTCACTCAAAAGCAACATCTTACGTTGAATTTGCAGCAAAACCTGAAGGAAAAACAAACACAAAAAACGCGAACGCTACTCCGGCTGTACCATGCGTAATGAGATTCCAAGTGCAAAGACGACCTTGTTCAAGCCAAGCATCTGTTGGCCACAGACCAGAGCTCCTCATTTCGGGCAGTTTCGGGTTGAAATGCAAACTACTATATTATGTAGNNTAATGGAGAACAAAATTGAAACTACTACATCATATAGCGCTGCACTACCAACTATCATGATAAAGACTACAAAGTCGCAATACCGACAACTAAAATGACGGCAAGAATTGAATATAGACTCCAAAATACTAGTCCTTATTATAGGNNCTAATTTTGGGAAACCCCATTTTGCAAGCATCCTTGCTGCAAGGAAGATCCGGGACTTTGTCAGTAAGGAGTTCTGGGGCTTTTAAAAACGGGCCGCAATATACCTTACGACCCTGAACCCCAAAGCTTCAACACTAAACCTCAATTGAATACACGTTGCTCCCTAAGTGCCTTTGGACAGTAAGTTCTGCAACCAAGGCCCCAAACCCTCTAGTCCTAAATCCTGGACCCTCATACCTACAACTTACTGGAGTTTAGTAGGGAA